GTCGTTGGGTATTGCCTGTCCTGTCCTGCCTGTCTGATCCTGTTCTTGAGTCCATGTTGTAAGTTTTGCTGCCATGTCAGCCTTTTGATTTATTATTCTTATTATTATTAAAAGTATTTTATTTTATACATCTGCCTCTTGAGTCCTGCCTGCGCAACTGGGTTCTTCTGTCCTGATCTGCCTTGAAAACCCTGACAGTACGAACCAACCAAAACCTGAACCCAGCAGGCAGACTCGGACTCTGCTCACCTGTTTTTGCCCGAGTTTGTCCAGATGGAGGAAACTGCGATCCGGTGTGGTGCCTTTTGGACTAGACCCGTCTTGGGTCTGAGAAGCTGCACCCAGGCAGTCGAGGTTCTGCCTTCGCCTCTCTTACTGCAGGAGGAGAGACGAAGATCTCAGCTCCAAAAGAACCACACAGCACCCAGGTTCAGTCCCTCCTACTCACCAGTCTGCTCTGGGTGGACGTCTGGGGAGGATGCCGAGTCAGAGGACGAACTCTGGTTCGCCCCGGTACACCACCCACATCGCCGCCAAAAGGGAAAGAGAAGACGCAATCGGAACCGGTCCGCTGCTCTTCCACCCACATCACCTGTATTTCCAGCTCCTCGCATTCAGCCCGGCGAGGCTGAGTTTTTTGGTTCCGCCCCCTCCTGGTCCCAGCCTCCAGCCTGCTCTCCTCAGCCAGAACCTGCGAAACGGGAGAATTTCGCAGGGGGGGGGAGCAGTCATCCCCCGGTTCGTCTGTGGAGTGGACGAAGGGGGGCCAGCCCGGGGAGCGTGTTGGGCAATCGCTTCCTGCTCCTCTTGAGGATAACCAAATCCCTGAGCTGCCTTCTGTAGAGGACCAGGTGGCTCATCTTCTCATCAAAGGCTCTATAATGATTCTCAGAATAACTCCAAGAAACAGAGTTACAAATAGAAGACGCCTGGTGGACCAACTCTTAGATATATTCCTCTCACAGCCTGACCTGCTCAGCACATCGGTTCATCAGGTGATCTTTCAATTTTCCATGAAACTAAGAGCTGAACTCGATCCCGTTTTTTTCTCGTCACACACTGAAGAGCCTGCAGCCAGCCCAGAGCCTGCAGCCAGCCCAGAGCCTGCAGCCAGCCCAGAGCCTGCAGCCAGCCCAGAGCCTGTAGCAGCCAGACCAGAACCTGCTGCAGTACCAGAACCCGTAGCAGCCAGCCCAAACCAAGATCCAGCCCCAGACAATCCAGTCGCAGAAGAGTTCCTCACAGCTGCAGCCCCTGTGGTCGCTCCCATGCCTACCACAGTCCCTGTAGTTTTTCCATCTCCTGCAGCCTCTGTATCATCCACGCTATGTGAGGACACAACCTGTCCTGAGCCCATAGACCCAGACGCATCTTCTCCTGATCATGTTGCTGCACACAGCCCCCGTGGTTGATCCCTTACCACTCCTGCCTGCTCAGCCGTGGGAGTCCAGGTGGACTCTGCTCCTGCC